TTTCTGCTAAAGCAGAATTTGAATTAAAATTTTGCGAAAAAAGATAGTTTTCAGTGTTACCCTTCAGCTCCTGACCCAGCTAATTGACATACATATTTCAAATTGTAATGGTGCAATAAATATTTCACTTTTAAGTTTATCAAATTTTAAACTTTATTAAAAAATACAAGTATTACAGATTTCATATAGGTATATGAAAATATTTTAAATTTTAATAAATAAAAAAATAAAAATGGTAAAAATATGCAATAAAATAAAAATTAAAATTTGTTGATAAACTACAATGAATTTTGAAATGCACTACTTAATTTAAAATGTTAAGTAGAAGGGCCCAGAGGCTGGAGGAGCACACTGAAAAACTAACTGCTTTGCAAACTTTAATTTAAATCCTGCTTGTGCAAAACTTGCCTATTTATTGTCATAAACTTATATGTTTGGTGCGAGTCCCTTGTCTAATAACTGAGATATCATTATATCCAAAATCTACCACCAACCACCAGTAAAAACTTTCTGGGTGGGTTTTTTAAAGAAAAGTAAAAAATAACGAGAATTGCTGTATTAAAAACAAACTAAAAATATCTTTGCCTTTAATAAAACTAACAACATTGAGTAAAGAACTTTACTCAATGCTAACAACTTAAACAAAAACACTTGATGTTTGGGAGGTTTTAAACAAAAAATTTTAATTTTAACTCTCCCTCTCCATTCATGTTTTTATGTTCATTTAAAACTTTACGTAGATCCACCGCATAAAGTTTAAAATCCCACTTGGATTAAATTAACCTAAAAAATAATATAATATTACATAATATACGAACATTTTTCATTATTAAGTAACAATAGTTAAATAGATGACATATTAATAATGCTGCCAGAAGTTTTAGTAAAAAAAAAACAATAAACCCTAAAGAAAATATATTTTAAGTACCTACAAGGCAAAAAAATCACCAGCAAACAAAATGGCACCTGCTTTTAAACAAATAAAACTTTTTATTTATGTTTAAATATAAATAGAGCCATGTAGGTACCAATGTTAAAAATTATAGTTTTTAATATCCTAAATTTATTGAATACTATTTTAAAATAGTATTCAATAAATTTCAACAAAAATTTTTGTTGTTCCGTTTTTAGCGTGTAAATAAAACAGCCTGAGATTACTAATAAATTAGTATACTATATCTTATAAGAGACTGTCTCTGAATTAGTTCTGAAATCAGAAAACTAAACAATAGAATTAAGTACTTACCTTTAATAATCAATTATCTTGAACTACACAACCAGTCACAAAACGCTTTAATAATTTATTAATAATAAATGACACAGAACAATATGACACCACGAGAGTTTGGGCCAAGCGTCTCATAGAGTAAGAAAGAAAAAGAGAGACTTTGAAACCATGTAAACAGTTGACCAAGCGTTAGTGGCGACATCCAACTCAGGGAATGGAAAACTTTCACAGGGAAAGGCGGCAAATTTAAATATAATATATTGGCGGCAAATTTAAATATAATATATTGAAACGTGTTAACCTGCTAACTCCACTTATAGGTTGTAATGCGTTTTTTATACTGTATTTAATATAAAAAACGCATTATAAAAGATAAATTGAGTTAGCGGATTAACACGTTTACATTAATTTATTAATGAATTAATAAATTAATGTAAACGTGTTAATCCGCTAACACAATTTATCCTTTATAATGCGTTTTTATATATTAAATACAGTATAAAAAACGCATTACAACCTATAAGTGGAGTTAGCAGGTTAACACGTTTCAACGGCTATTCTAATTATTTTTCACACTTTAAATTTTATTTCTCAACTTTTGGAGCTAACTGAAATAGCTGAAAAACAGTACAATCGTTCATTAACTAAAACTATACATATTACATTTCAGAACATTTATTATATTTCAAAACAAATAAAATAATACAAGTATTTATTTTTTCTAACAAAACGTGTTTTAATGTTATCACAGTCTCTTAATGTCAAACAAATCACAGGAACAAAATACTAATATAAACAACAAAAATAATATTATATTATAATATAATTATAATAAAAAAATGAATATACCTTATTGAAGTATTTGTTACTCACATTGAGCTCAATCATTTTACTCGTCTTTCAGAATCTCCAGGTACAAGAAAAAAATGTTTATTTTTAAAATTTGGAGCATTATCTAAATAAAATTTGTTGCCACAATTTGGCACTGCACAATGGTATTTAATTTTTTTAGGGATATTCATCACTGCATCCTTTTACTACTTACTATTTTAAGTTACGTATTTGATACCATTCTGCACGATCAGTCTTCAAGTTTTTAGTCGTAGGTTTATTCTGCACGTTCAGTCTTCAAGTTTTTAGTCATAGGTTAATTAACCTGCATGATTAGTCTTCCACTTTTTAGTGATATGTCCATCTAAAATTAGCGCATCATAAATATTTATTATTTTTTTTAAATATCAAAAAGGTATACCTACCATGAAATAAGTCCAGCATAAAGTGAAGTTTTTGTAATTTTCAGTCTTAAGTTTATACAGTATCTAAAATTAACGTATTATGTATTATAATATTAAAAGAAATAAATGTCAGATTATACCTTTGTTATGAGTAAAAGTTGAATTTTAAATTTGTCTTCTGACAAAAATATTTTAACCTAAAATAAATAAAGATCTATACATAATGTGCATATAACAAATTATAATTACTTACCTAGGTATACCTTGTTTTCATCATAGAAAATATTCCATGGTCTGTTAATTGGAAAGCATCGATTGACAAAAATAGTTTAACCTAAAATAAATAGAGATTATAATATATTATATACATACGTGTATAATATAATATATTATGTAATAATATATAATATAATATGTAGATATGCATAGATAATAAAGCATGTAATACGCCTATAACAAATTATATTTACCTACATTGTTTTAAATTATCTTCATATAAAGAAAAAGAATATTCTTTTTCTATGGTCTTCCTGTTGTTAATTGGTTCTTTGGAAGACAACGTAGAGTAATAAAACAGAAGTAATTGTCTTCTCTCGGGTAAACATAGAAATATACACAAAACATAGTCAAAGTTTGACTGTCAAAACCCCACAAAAAGTTAGGTTAAGGCGCTTGCGTATGAAATATCATGCAACAGCGCCCTCCAACTTAGGGAATCGTTGAAATCAAACTGCCCTATCTATAAAATAGTCTCTTTTCTTCTCTTGTCTCTGAAGCGTCTATTCTGGAATATTCATCATGGCGTTATTGTGCCCAGCCAATAAGAACGCTAGGAATATTTAGTCACAATCTAACGTTACCATTCCATCGCATTAACGTCTCAAGTTGCGTCACGTCAACACTTTAAGTTCCGTTGCAGTCACAATAAAATGTAACATTGTGTTAACGTTAAGCTGTACCGTTAAATTGTAACGTTAATAGGGCGAACATTAAACATCACTGAGACGTTGATGCAGCGTTTATGTGATCAGCCTTATAACGTTAGTTGGTAACATCACAGTACCGTTAATGCAATAGTATTTTGCTTAGTGGGATTGTTTATATAATATATATATTATATAAACCATATATGGGCCTCCCAAAATGTAATGAGGTAATAAATTTATGAGTAATTACCTTATAAGGCTATTTATTATAGGAAAATAATTAGATTTTTAATGTCCGAGCGCATGCGTCTGCATATGCAGACGCATGCGCTCCTTGAAAAAGCTAACAGTAACACAGACGCTTGCGACCCTTTTGTGGACTTAAGTAATGTGAATAAACGGCAACCTTCAACATCGAGGATTTGTTAATGCAACGTTAGCACATTAACGTTAAAGTCAAAACCTTATATTAACGTTAATCAACTTTGTATGTTTAGTATCGTTAACCTTCAACAACGAAAGCATGTTAATGCAACGTAACAATGTAACGTTAAAGTTGAAACCTTGTATTAACGTTAATCAACGTTAAATTAACGTTGCTTGCTTAGTGGGTAGCTACAGGTTTTTGGTCACAGGCTGAAGTTGGCTTGACAGTTGTCATTCTGTCATACCATGTTGTAGGGTAGGTTATATTAAGTACACACAAAATTTCAATTATTTTTTCTGAATGATAAGGGTTTAAAAATTTTATTTTATTTTTTTAAGAATATTTATTTATATAAAAGGATTAAACACAATTTTCTAATAACGTTTCAAAAATAAAGAGTTGGAATTTTTCAATGTTTGTGCATGCATTTATGACATAAACTTTATTAATGCATCGCGAAAAACGATTTAAAAAAAAACATTGAAAAAATTATTAAATTTTGTTTATTGTAAACAATTTTTTTGTTATTTGTTGTGCTGTTTATAAATTCCCGTACGGAAATCTATAAATGGCACTACGATTTTCGTATTGTTCATCTTTTACGGGAGGAAGGAGGCAATCTATAAATCAGGCTTTACCCTCTTACACACTATATTTTGTTATGTAAACATTAAATTGAGAATGTGTCAGAATTTGGCAACGTCGCATTTGGACAACGATAGCGTAATGGTTTTATCATAGACATATTAATATGTACAGGTGTACGTTGTATACCAAATGTTTTTGCATTGGTTTTTTCTATTCTGTTTACGACCTTTCAGTGGCTTTACATAATATGCATATCATACCACTTTTTGCTTTTTATAAAGCCAAACCACAAAAGTTTATGTAAGCTTAATCTAGGTGATTTTCCCTCAAAAAGAAAAGGTCATTAATACAAAATATAGCGAATAAGCAGATGTCAGAAATTATTTAATTTTTGTGTTTGTCGAAGAAAAAGAATACCTATAGTATGAAATTAGTTTTATAAAGTTCTCTAGACACTTGTTTATTAAACACTTACTTAACTAAAATGCAATACATAGTTCAAACGCCCTTTTTGGTAAACCTTTAATATAAAAATTGCCAAAAAAAGAGCTATCAACAAGGTTTAAAATTTAATGGTGAAAAATAAAAATAAGATGTTTTAAAAACAATTTTAATTAATATACAATTTTAAATTATATCACAGTAATTATTTTGATTTTTTTATATTCACTCATCAATTTTTGTATCCAAAATTAAAATTCCCGACGGATCTTTTTTTCTGATTCTTCCATTCGAATATCTAGTCTCCTGCGACCCGTCAGGATATAAAATTTTCACGGTACCATCTGGATATTCCCTTCTCTGAAAAAAATGTCAAAAAACCGTATCGAACAAGTCAGTGTTGCGCGATTGCCAAACTTTTTGTTTCTAAATGTTTTTTTAAGAAAAACATTTTATTAAACTCATTATTTTTTTAGATATCCTCCAAAAATCTCGCATTTTGTCAATCTGTTTTTTAATTGACGGACTTTGACAGGCTGTAATTTTTTTGGGGACAATTGTATTATCTTTTTATTAATACATACTTTATTAAAATCGGTCAATTATTTTTAAGGATATTTTCAAAAAAGGAAACAGCTGTTAGTTTGCATCATGGGACTATAACTTTTCCAATTTTTCACCGATTTTGAAAAATTATATTTCAAGTAATAGATATTTTGATAACCTTTAAAAATTCTTAATACTAATATTAAAAAAATATTTAATAAAAACATGCTATGGCTTACCTTTTCAGTTTCAGTATGAATCTCTTTTTGACCATTGGGTAGTACCAAAACCCTTCTGCCATTCGAGTCAATATTCAAGACAGATCCGTCGGTATATTTGACCTCTTCTTTACCATCATTAAATTTAGTCTGCATCACACCGTCAGCGTAAAAAATCTCGCATCTTCCGTCTGCGTATTTTTTTTCAGACTGACCGCTTGGAAATTCTATATATTCTGTTCCATCATCGAAAGTTGTATGCCATGTATTATTGATGGAGTAAAAATATTTCACTATGTTTTTGATGGTGTCAGTTTCTTTGATATCGTTATTATAATATTTGACGACAATATTGGCCCCATCGGCAGAAATATTCTTAACATTTCCGTTGCTGTATTTTATTTGCCTACTGCCGTCTGGCAAAATAGTTTCAATTTTTTCTAAAATATACATTTGAAAATTGTGTGTGGGTGTAATGGCACGCCGTTTTAACATTTATTAAATATTTTTTTATTTAAAATTTTATTGGTTTAAAATTTTCCCAACAAAAAATTTTAGGTTTAAATTTGGGTGAATTTCACGAAATGTGGTGTTACCCCGTGATATTTAATAAAACTAAATGAGTTCGACCTACACTTTTATTGTGTTTTGCTCTTTCATAATTAAGTAGATATTACAGCTCAGATTCCAGATTTTTAAACGCAATTAATTATTTTTTACAATGTTTTAAAAGTCTAAAACCTATCCTCCGTGACTGTTACTTTTTCTAGGTTACAAGCAATCGAATCAAATATAAAATATTATTAAAAATTAAAAGAAATAATTTTTATAACCATTTATGTAGGTTACATCTATTTCTATCCTCCGTAAATTTGTTTTTGCTTTAAATTTTATTCAACAGGCGCTTTAATCATTTTAAATAAGCAAAAAACTCTGACATTATAGATGCATGTGATTCCTGAAGGTGAGTTAGAATTTATATGAAGATGAGAGTTTGCTGTTTTATAATTCAAGTTTAAGTTAATTTGCTATTTAAAAACCTATCCACCGTGAAGTGTAATATCTCAGTAAGTAGATTTTTTCATAAATATTTTATGTAGGTATGTAAAATTGTATTTTTTTAAAATATTAAGGTGTCAAAAGATACAATAACTAAATATACAAAAAAAACATACGAAATCCTAACCTCCGTGAAGCTCTAATATTCAAAATGTATGATTTCTTAAAATTCTTGCATCAGTGCAAAACCACTTATGTTATGTTATTACTGGTGGCTTCCCAAAAGACTAACACCCATTTATAAATTTAAAACTATCATGTATTGACAACATTTACTAACCAACAGTTCACTTCTGTATTAAACAATATTATTTCCAATCAATTTTTGCAAAAACTGATTTTTTAATAAAAAATATTTCTTAAGTATAATTAATTGGGCAGAATATTATAAATCCTAAATTATTATTTTTTAAATTATTTAGATTTAATTGATAAAGTTAAGTTTCTTAGAACTAAATAATAGTGTTGAGACATTTAAAATAAAAACGCATATAAAACTTTTTCTACCAAAATAGTTTAAAAAGTTATTTTTTTTAAACTCAGAACAATTGATAATCAAAAAATATTTTAAATATAAAATGCAAAAGTTTTAGTTTAAAATATTGGTTTTTAAAAATTGTAGTTTTAAAATTTTATTTTACAAAATTATTGGTTTAAATTTGTAAAGAGTCCTTCAAATGATAGTTGTCAAATTTTTAATACACATCACATTTAAATGTAAGTTTTAAATTTTTAAGTGGTAATTTTTGGATTAAAAATGTTTCGACTATCATTTAAATGACTCTTTACAAATTTAAATCAAACCTTTTTATTTTTAAAAATTTTAAATTGCAAAAGCTATGATTACATTTTTTAAATTAAAAAAATCATTTAAATGTAAAGTTATAAATTTTGTTTGGTTTAAATTTGTAAAGATGATAATGATTACATTTAAATGTAATGTGAGAATTTTTTTATTAAAAATTTATCGACTATCATTTAAATTACTCTTTAAAAATTTTAACCAATAATTTTGTAGAATAAGATATTTGAACTAAAATTTTTAAAAATCAATATTTTTAAGCTTAAATTTTGACAGTTGTATTTTATATTTGAAATATGTTTTGACTATGAATTGTTTTAAAAAATTAACTTTGTAATATTCTGTTAAAACATCATTAGAGTGCTAAACTTTAATCTTCAAACTATTATCTAATAAATGCTAAAACGGCGTGCCATAGTTTTTAGAAAATTTACCTTTTTTGGATTCATTAAGACTGCTGTTTTGTGCTGGCAGTTGCCCAAAAACATTTTCGTATTGTTTTTCGAGCGATAAATTTCCAAAAACAGTGCTTTCCATCGATGTCAGTTCGTCGCTGGTGTTTTCCTAAAAATGGCAACATGGCATTTTCCAACAAACACCAAACCGTATTATGCTTACCTGTGGAAAACTGGCTTTCCTCGAGATGTTAATGTTTTCCTTTTTCTCAGTTTTCTTGAGGATTTTTTCACTCCCATTACCAACATTTTGCGTTTTTTTGGTCTCTTCGGTTAATTTAGCGAGATTTTTGTTGATTTCGCTCAACATTTTGGTTTCCGAGGGCCTTCTTGATAAATTTTGGTTCGCTTTTAGTTTTGCGTTATCCCTGTTCAGTTTTTCCACTTGGGTTTTTAAATCGTTGTTTTCCTTCTCCAATATTTTTAGTTGAGAACGTAACCGCGCCGTGGTGGCGCCGTTTTTCGTCTCTTTGAGTTTGAGAAGTTCTTTTGTTTCTATTAATTCTTGCCTTAAATGCGTCAAGTCGTCTTGATCTTTACGAATGTTGTGGACGTTTTTTTTGTAACTCTCGAAAATTTGTTTTTCCCTCTGTAGTTTTTTGTGCAGATCTTCCACATCTTCCATTAAATTGGCCTTTTCTTCGTCAAAATCTTCTTCTAATTTCCTAATTTTTCTATTCAGTTCTTCCCTGTCTTTCCTTAAATTTTTACTATAATCATTCACTCTATCATTCTCTTCCTTTAACTTTTTAATTGTTGCATCTTTTTTAGATATTTCGTTCATTCTTTTATCACATTCCACACAATTTTGATTTAAAGTACTATTAAAACTCGTATTTTCAAAGTTTTCCTTTACTTTTGGAGTTGTATTTAAATTTGAAAACTGATCTGGACTGCTGGAATATGATAAGGAACCACCAGTACTTGACCAAATATCCTCAGAATCTAAAACAGCGATTACCGTTGAATATCCTAGCAACTGCGCCATTTAAAAAAAATAGTATAAACGTTCGTTTGATTTTTAAAACAATTGTGTCGCTAGGAGCCGATAAAACATTTTTTAAGTCAGGTGAGAATGGGAGCAAAAAAACGTATTTCTACTACAACCAAGTATATTCTAGATGATAACCTTGAAATCAAATGCGACCAGTATGGCACGCCGTTTTAAAATTTATTAAATGATTTTTTTATTTAAAATTTTATTGGTTTAAAATTTTCCCAACTTAAAGTTTTAGGTTTACATTTATAAATTTAAAATATTTTCAACTACCTATCATGTATTGAAAGAAAAAAATTACTAACAGTTCACTTCTTTATAAAACAATATTATTTCCAATCAATTTTTGCACAAATTTTTAACTCTATCATTTTTTAATAAAAATAATTTTAAATGTTAAATAAATATTTTATAAAATTATTTAGAATAAATTGGTAAAGTTAAATTTTTTAGTATTTAAAAATATTGTCAAGACATAAAAATACATATAAAACATTTTTTACCAAAATAGTTTAAAAAGTTAAACTTTTTAAAATTGAAAATCAAAAAATACTTTGATTTTTAAAAATTGTTGTTTTAATATTTTATTCTGCAAAATTATTGGTTTAAATTAGTAAAGAGTCTTTTAAATAATAGTCAATAAATTTGTAATACAAAAATTCTCACATTACATTTAAATGTAAATTTTAAAGTGGTAATTTTTGGATTAAAAATTTATCTACAAAATTTATAACTTTATATTTAAATGATTTTTTAATTTACAAAGTGTAAACATAGCTTTAGCAATTTAAAATAGTTAAAAATAAAAAGTTTTGCTTTAAATTTGTAAAGAGTTAAAATTATAGTCGATACATTTTTAATCCAAAAATTACAACTTAAAAATTTAAAACTTACTTTTAAATTAGTGTTGCAACGGTTACGGTTACGGTTAATTCACGGTTTTCGATATTATACGGTTAACCGTAACCGTATGTCGTTAACCGTAACCGTATTTACGGTTTTTCATGCTACTTTGTGAATGCATGTAAAAAAAAATTGAAGAGTAATTAACGTTACCAAATATACCACCTAAGTCAAATCCGTTTACATTCTGGAAAACGTGTTACACGTTTCGGCGTTTAAGAGTGTTGGCACTAAGGTATTATACAAACCATTGTCAGTGAATTCGAAGAGGTTGTTTTCGACTGCAGGTCTTGTGCAAACACCAAATAGGAACAGGCTGATTCCGCAGAATTTGCAGATGTTATGTTTTTTAAATAAAAATTTGACTCGTAAATTTTGAATATTAACATTTAATTTTTTTATATTTTTAAATATTTTATTCAGGTACCTACTTAGGTTTTACTTTACTGTTTTTAGGTTTAAAATGTAACTCATTTCCTATTGTTTTACAGTTTTATTAGAAATTCTGTTTTTGTTTTACATAAATTATTATTTAACCTTTACTGAACGTGTGTATTAATTTCAAAACTTATTTTTCGTAATTCTGTAATTTTTTTTTGAATAACCGTGAATTTATTCGTAACCGTATAGCTAACCGTAACCGTAACCGTAACCGTAAAACCCGAAACCGTTGCATCACTATTTTAAATGTGATGTGTATTAAAAATTTATCTATCATTTAAATGACTCTTACAGAGTCAGTGTAAATTAAAAATTTAAACCAATAATTTTCTAAAATAAAATATTAAAACTACAAATTTTAAAAACCAATACTTTTGCATTTTAAATTTAAAATATTTTTTGATAATTGTTTTGAGTTTAAAAAAAATTAACTTTTTAAACTATTTTGGTAGAAAAAGTTTTATATGTGTTTTTATTTTAAATGTCTCAACACTATTTATTTTGAGAAATTTAAAACAATAGTTTTTATTATTTACAAATTTAAATTAATAAATTTTTATCACTAACATATCCACATTACATTTAAATGTAAGTCGATAATTTTTTAATTCAGAAAGTGTAATTGCTGCTTTAGAACACAAAGAGACGGCATACGCCGACTGCTAAAGCTACGTTTACATTTTGTAAATTAAAAATTATCGACTTACATTCAAATGTAAAGTTATAAATTTTGTGTTAAAAATCTATCAATTTAAAATTTTTAAAAATAAAAAGTTTTGGTTTAAATTTTTAGTCATTAAAATGATAGTCAATAAATTTTTAATCTAAAAATTACCACTTTAAAATTTAAAACTTACATTTAAATGTAATTACATTAAACTTACATTTAAATGTAATTACATTAATTTGAGAAATTAAAACTTCCATTTAAATGTAATTTACATTAATGTGAGAATTTTTGTATTAAAAATTTATCGACTATAATTTAAATGACTCCTTACAAATTTAAACCCATAATTTTGTAGATTTAAATATTTGAACTATAATTTTTAAAAATCAATATTTTTAAGCTTAAAGTTCTACAGTTGTATTTTAAATTTAAAATATTTTTGACTTTCAATTGTTTTGAGTTTAAAAAAAACTAACTTTGAAAATTTCTGTTAAAACATTATTAAAGTGCTAAACTTTCATCTTCAAATTATTATCTAATAAATGCTAAATCGGCGTGCATAGACCAGTTTAAAAAATATGTCACTGGTAGAAAAAAAGTCACGGAATCTGACGTTTGCTTTTCAAAAATGTGGCATGTTTTTAATATCAGTTTTAAACATTTAACATCTTAAGTGCATATAATTGTGGATATTTTTAAGACAATAATTAAAGATTTTTATTTTCTTACACAAAATGAATAAAAATTGCTCCAGGGCACACTTAATTTATTTTGTAAATCAAACCAGAAAAATATGCAGACTTTTGTCTAGCTACACTGAGAAAAATAAACTCTTATTTCAATGTTATAATTATTAACTGAACAGTTTTTGCACATTCAATATGAACAATGTAAAAAATTGTTTTATTTAAGTCTCAAAATATTACCTACAGTTTTTTACATTAAACTCATAAAGTTTTTGAATATACATTTTTATTACTACAAAAATGTACAAAGATTTCAATTAATGCAGTTCAGACATTAAATTAATGATCTTTGATATAAACACTTTTGTATAACAACCTCTGATTGTTTGTTTAAGATGATTTTTTATTTGTTTCAAAAAAATAAAAATAATATTTCCTTAAGTGTTAAATTAACAACCTCATTAAATTAAAATTTTTTCTCAGTGTATAATGCACTGTTTAACCTGCGCCATTTTACCTAAATCAGCCCTTGTAGAATCATCAGTTTCGTTTTCTTTAATCAACTTTAACTTTGATATAAAATTATTAATGACTTCCGTTTTCTCATCTAGCAATTTAAGCTTATTTTCCAGCTCTATTTTGGCTTTTGGCGTTGATGATGTGCTTTGTGGTTTTGTAGGGCTCAATTCTTCTTTGTTTTTTGTACTCTTTAACGATCTAGGAGTGCTGGATAGAATTCTAAGCACACTAGAATTTGTCGAGCAGAAACTGCTGTTGTCTGCTCTTTTTTCCAGGGCTTCGAATATTTGGAGGTCCTGGTTGTCTGTGGTTTCAAATTTAGTGGGGGTTGTGTTTGGACTAAAAAATATTGACATTACCAAAAAATATAAAATTAAAAAAATCACCTTTCTCTATCAGCAGAATTCTTCCTATTACCCAGTCCAAACTTTCTCTTAGCAAACTCATTGATTCGGCTCATAATTGCACCAGATTTCTTAACACTATCAACTTTGGGGTCATCAGTCTCCAACACGGGGGGCACCCACTCCAAAACCCCCAAACCATCCCCTTCAGCGAGCGAGGACTGTTTTTCATCCCTGGGGCTCTTCCTTAATATTTTAGTGGGGCTTTCAATGATCTTGTTGAATGATTCCGATGTTGACCACTTGGTTTTCGGTTTTATACTTACTTCAGGTATTTTTAGTGGTGTTAAGTCAAAAGAGAATTGCTTAGGGCTAACTTCACTTCTACTAGGACTTCTGTGAGCAATTTTAAGGCCTTTTAGCCCTGTTAATTTCTTAACCCTCCTTTTATTTGTACTATGATTAGCATAGTTTATTGACGATTTAAACCTATTCAACCCTGTACCTTTCTTCAAAAATGGTTTTTTAGGTTTACAATTATTACTGAAATCATTTGGAACTGCCCCGTTTTCTTCCCTAAGCTTCTCTTCGAGCAAAACTTCGAAAGGTTTATTATTAGCTACTTCAATGTGATCAAAAACCTCCACGGTCAACACAGGAGGCCCTGAGTTGCTTGTATTCTCCTCATAGCTCACTTCGTTCGAAACACTAACATTCTTGTTCGATAAACCATTCGCCCTTTCCGTTAAATTATACCCATATGAAGTTTCAGCTATAGTCTGCCAATGTTTCAAATCCTGCAGGCATTTTTGGTATGCCGCCATTATTTGTGCATTTTTTTACGCTGAATTTGTAAGATTTTCCGTTTATATTTCTAGGTTAGACGCTGTAAACAAATTTGAATTCAAAAATGACAGTTATGTTAATAATACAGTCCACTGTAACAACGTACAACAAACTCTTATAGATGGAGTTACTGTCGAAAGTGTTGTTAACCTCAAAAAATGATGTGTGTCAAAATTTATTGAATTTTCGTTTATTTTCATATATTTTATGATAAATTAATAACAGAAAGGGTGGCAGGATGTCTAATGTGGAGGGAAAAAGGGATTTCACCCCGGAAGAGTGGGGTTTTTTGACGAAATACTTTGTAGGCAATAATTATAGGTACAGGGAAAATATAATCATACCCAAAAATTTGGGGCCAGTAACGATAAAAACCAACGAAGAGAAAATGGTTGAAGCGTTTTTCGAAAGCTGTCCTTTCAAGGCTTTCATGAGCTGTGTAATGGGTACAAAAAATTGTTTCAACATCCCAAAAACATTTTTACATGGTTATTTTTAGGTTATGGTCTTGGGGCTGCCATTGGTTTATTTTCAAGCAGTATCGGACCATCTTCAGTGACCAGCGTCGAAACACAAACAGCTCGACAAGTGTTTAGAGAAATGAAAACTACAACCCTAGGTTATGCAAAGAATTTCGCGTTAATTGGAGCCTTATTTTCAGCCGTTGAATGCTCCATAGAATCTGTTCGTGGAAAGTCGGATTGGAAAAATGGCACCTACGCCGGAGGTGTGACAGGGGGCATGATAGGGTTAAGGGCGGGGGTGAAAGCTGGCATTGTTGGTGCAGCTGGTTTTGCAGCTTTCTCTACAGCCATTGATTATTATATGCATTCAAGGTTTTAGATTTACACATATTTATTTGTTATTTTGTTAGTAATAAATGTTAAGTAAACAAAAAGTGTCCTTTTATGCATTTTAAACGTTATTATGGATTTTGATCAGTATGGGTTATACTTTAATTTGCACTGGTTTTTAAAAATATGGATTTTAAACACACCCTCAATGTTTTTTTTAAACATCCCTTTGTATATTTGAAATTAGTTATTGTATCTTTTGACACCTTAATATTTAAATTTAAAAATACATACATACAATATTTATAAAAAAATCTACTTCCTGAGATATTACACTTCACGGTGGATAGGTTTTTAAATAGCAAATTAATGAACTTAAACTTTTGAATTATAAAACAGCAACACTCTCATCTGCATATAAATTGACCTTCAGGAATCATATGCATCTATAATGTCGTAAACAGAGGTTTTTGCTTATTTAAAATGATTAAAGCGCCATCCGTAGCATAAAATTTAAAGAAAAAACAGATTCACGGAGGATAGAATCAATTTTTGTAACACCTACATAAATGGTTATAAACAGTATTTCTTTTAATTTTTAATAATATTTTATATTTGATTCGATTGCTTTGGATGTGTTTAATTTACTTAGTGAACTGATATTTTTAGTATGCTTTTACTACCTCAGATATTTGAAAACATAACCTAGAAAAAATAAAAGTCACCGAGGATAGGTTTTAGACTTTTAAAACATTGTAAAAAATAATTAATTGCGGTTAAAAATCTGGAACCTGAGCTGTAATATATTAAGATATATCTACTTGATTATGAAAGAGCAAAAAACAATAAAAGTGTAGGTCAAACTCATTTAGTTTTATTAAATATCAAGGGGTAACATTTCGTGAGATTCACCCAACTGCAACGGTTTTCGAAAAATTATGGATTTTAATCAGAAAACTATTGATTAAAAACCCATATTTATTTTTTTTTAATTTTGATGGTCCACAATAAAAATTTATATAAACCCGGATTTAAAATCCCATTTTGGTTCACCCTGTATACAAAATCAAATGACCAATTATTTTTTAAGGGTTATTGAACCCGGTTTTATGCAGGTATAAAGTTATTTTTAAACTGGTCGGGGTTTAAAATCGAAATAAATCATGTTTTTGGCAATTTTTGTTATGTTATAATGTGGGAATTTGTTTTAAAACATTATGTTTATCATAAAATAATGTTAATAGGTACCTAAAAAATAATAAACATGAGGTTTTAAAATAAATCGTTTTTTTTTTATTTTTTAGTAATAGTTATCAGGCCTATAAATATAAATTTATGTCATTGTTCGAATGGCACAATTTTATTTGTAACTATATAGTCTATAGACATAAAACGTGTAATTATTAAAAGTAGAAAGTAAGGTTAGATCAATCTGACAGAAGTCGAATTTTTGGTTTGATCAAAAGTAGTAAATAATGAATTTTTTACGAGTGTTGGCCCAAATTATACCAAAGAAGTTGTTGTCTACTCTGTAGCAAAATGTCTGTTGACCAGTGTTATTGTTTATTTCGATTGCCCCCCGTATGGCCGCGCCACCGTCAAGCGGTACAAAAATTTACTCTTAAATAAAACTAGAAGTATGTCCAGCAGTTTAATTTATCTCCCAGAACCTCTCGACTTGAGAGGAGAGGTGCCATACCTACAGCAAAGTAAATAAATAAAAATACCGAACAAACTAAATTATCTACCGAAAAAAAAACTACAAAAACAAAAATCAACATAAATTAAAAGGCGAAACAATAGCATTCAATATATGAAAATGCATTCAGGACTAGTGACAAAGTCGTTTTAAACATGTAAAAATAATTTATTTTACACAGTAAATATTATTTGTTTTGTGATATCTGGTGAACGTTAATGAGTGTTAATTGATGAAAAACTGTGCAAAAAGTGTGTAAAGGGGAAAAATACCAGGTAAGAATATTACATTTCTAAATAAATTAAAGAAAAATAACTAAATCAAAAGATATTATTTAACACAAAAATTTCTAAATTATAGCCAGTTAAAATTAAAAAAAAATTAAAATTTTGTCTATTATCTTACAAAATATTAATTGTTATTTCAAATAACAAATAATAGCCAAGACTTATTTTAAATTTAATTAAAGATTTTATAAACATTTTTAATTTATTACAACATTTTTTAATAGGTATTGGTCACAAATTATTGGCTTTAAAATGTTCTATTATTAAGAATTGAACGGTTTTGTAACACCCTGTATTTTTGAAAATTTCTAATTAACAATCTAGTTTATTTACTTTATTTTTTTATTAACACAACATGTTTCTTCATTCATGATCTTAGAAAATGGTTAAGCAATAATTATAGTTAATAAAAAAATATTAAATAACAAATTTATGCAATGTCGGTTTATTTACATATAAATAAACAATAAAAATTATGTAATTACATATATAGTAAAAAGGATTTTTAATTTATATTTAATTTAAAATATACAATGTTTATAAATATATATTATATACCTATAGGTATATACATATATGTATGTATGTATTATTCATTTTTTCAAAATAAAATGCCCATTAAATGTAATAAACAATTGTTTACAATTTAAATTATTATCATTATGTTATAAATTAGCTAAATTAAAAAACTTTTAACAAAACAAATTGATAGTCTGTTAACTAATTTTGTACTAAAAACCCCATTCAAAACACGCACATAAAGAATATTAATAAAATTTATGGATTTTAATCAAGGCCTCAAAACGCTTAATTTTACACAAAAATCTTTTATCAAATTTATGGATTTTGATCATAGCCTCAAAACAGTTATTTTTACTTAAAACAACTTCTGGGCGATTTTTGTCAAATTATGGATTTTAATCATTTTATGGATTTTGATCATAGTCTCAAAACGCTCATTTATGCTCAAAACAAAGATTGCCGCGGTTTTTCTCAAATTATGGATTTTAATCAGTCAAATGATTATAATCACAATTATGATCAAAAAACTAAAAACTCTTATTTCTCACTACAAAATGTATGCGATAATTTTTATGCGTCCACGGTATACAAAACGAGATTTGCCTCATAAATTATGCATTATTTACAAGCTACAGTTTAAAATATAATTACGGTAATCGCGGAAAAATATTGCAAATTTTAACATACTATATTGGCCATAACTGGTTACGCACGGCATTAAAAATTTATACTCATGGTAAATTATTTTTAACGAGTGCCTATAGTGGCTATAATATTTTTAACGACATAATAAAGACTTTTGTAAATATTTTATAAGAACGAAGGTTGTAAAAAATCTTACATATACTGGGAAAATATACCTAAAAACCTTAAAAACAAAAATCGAAAAGGTAGCCATGGAAAATAGGTTTTTTGGCTATAATTCCTTTATTTTTGCGCCAAAATATATCGAGTTGTTACTCAAAAAATAGGATTTTAAAATATCTCCAAAAAGAACCAAAAATTATTTTACTTAAAATTATATTAATATTATATTACTTAAAATTATATTAATTAAAAGTTTTAATTTAAAACAACTTTTTATCTTACGGCCATAACAAGTAAAGTTGAATAGCCTTCTTGGCCAAAGTAGGCATTGATGGACAGTCAATTGTTTTATACCGTTCTTAAGAAGACTTGAAGAAGAAGAATTAACGAGGATACAGCCTTTAAGATAACAAACCGTAGTTAATAAATATAGTGATGTTTGCTGTTTTGGGCAATATTTTGAAAAAATTGTATTGAACTATATTAATATTTTTGGATTATTTTGAAGATAAATAAATTATCTGTTATTTGATTCGTACCAAAATTAAAATTGGTTTAAAAATAATTAAGTTTTGGCCTGTTGAAATTTTTCAAAATTTTTAGATAATATATTATACGAGTATAAATATAATATATGGTTGTATATTTTTGTAACTAGGTAGTACTGGGACATTTATTATTTTTTAAATATTGTTTATAATTTTTAATAAAATCCTTACCCGATTTCAAATATTATTAATAATAATACATTTATAAAGATTGTACAAAAAAATTCCTTACAGCCTTTTTTAAAATTTTAAAATGTCTTGAATAAAATGTTAACATAATCAACAAGGCCTGTTTGGCATTTGTCTCTACCTGAAGATAAGTTGTTTTATTAAAAAAACTAGGTGGCCTTGAAGTCAGTTTTGCTAGACATGATAAATTACACCCTAAAAATATTTTTTTATTTTTTGTTGTATCAATTTAAACGAAACTTGGCATAAAACAGAATATTTTTAATTATTATCACAATGCCTATGTAAAATTAAAAATAACATAAAATATAATATTATTTTTTTAAATTTCAAATTAAATTACGTTAAAAGTTTTTCGACATACCCTGTATATATTTAAATACAATTTCATACGTACAGTATTATTAAAATAATTATTGACCGCTGGTGTACCATTACATGTACTACTAGTAAATAATAATGAGTTAAAACCATTCAAGGCAAAGTGAGGTTTTATGGTATAAAAATACCACTAAATTAAATTGCATTTTGTTTACAACATGTTTATTGTTTATATATAATTACCAAATACCGACAATCGATTGATTAATAATTACGCGCGGCATATAAAAAATATTATGGATTTTAATCATAGCCTCAGGACGCTTAGTTTTGCCCGAAACGATCTTTGGTGTGATTTTTTAAAAAGTATAGATTTTAATCAGATTATTTATGGATTATTAACACAAAATTATGGATTTTAATCATAGCCCCAAACAGCTTATTTTTTATTAAAAGAATAATTTTTTAAAATTATGGAATATAATCAAAAAATAATTAAAAAAAAAACTTTGCAAAGATTTTTTGTTACAAAAAACAACATTGTATAACCTACATAACATAACATGATTTATTAATTATGCCGCGTCATTGTAAATAATTTTTTGTGTTTGTAAGATTGTTAGATCTTGAACGTTGTTAACCCAAATAACCGATGGGTACCTAAGTAGATACCAAAAAATTGATTGGTAAATAGTTCTAAAAGGTTAACAAATAATTATAATTGTTTACTTATATTTTGTTGTGGCTACCAAGGTGAATTTCTATTCGTTTAGTTTGTTTATGTTTATAGTTTAAAACTTTAAAAATTACTATAAATTCATATTTAAAAAACTATTTTTTTGAGTCTCCTATGAAAATTTCTAGGCAATCATATTTTAAGAGCTTTCTCCAAAAATCGGCTCGATTCAAATCTTTTGCTAAAGTTAGCAAAAAATGTGGAAATTATTTTTTTCTCAATGCAAAATTATTAAATAATCTAAGTTTATATGCACGATTGTACCTTTTGATTTCGCCGGCAGCAAACTAGTACCTACATATACATTAGGGTGGCCCAAAAAAAACGAATATTTTTTTTCTTCTCGTCTCTTGTGAAAATATGTTGGTTTGTCATGTTTTAAGAGCCCTGTCAAAATATCAGCTCGATTAAAAATTTTGTAGGGGTCGCTCAAGATTTTTAAAAATTTTCAAAATCGTCAAAAATTGAATTTTTATTTTATTTTAATTCTTTTTCTCGTCTCGATATTATTTTTTAGGTTGGAAATAATAAAAATTCTGTAAATTTCAAATCAATATTTTGATTTCTAAAGGTCGCTAAAAGTTCGTTGATATTTATATTCAGAGGTCGCTCGAAAACATTCAAAATACTCTACTTTGAAAGTTAAAAAAATCTTGAGCGACCTTTATTAAAATATCGATTTGAAATTTTCAGAATCATTATTATTTTTAAATTAAAAAATAATATCGGAACGAGAAAAAAAAATTAAAATAAAAAAAAATCCAATTTTTGACGATTTTGGTAATTTTTAAAAATCTTGAGCGACCCCTAAAAAATTTTTAATGGTGCTGATCTTTTGACAGGGCTCTTAAAACATGACAAACCAACATATTTTCACAAGAGACGAGAAGAAAAAAAATATTCTTTTTTTTTGGGCCACCCTAATATATGTACATACATATGTAGGTAATACCTACTAGGTATGCCAATGAAGCTTTAATAATTTCGGGCAGAGTACCCATAAAACATCCTCTTAACTTTCACTGTGAAAAACTGCTTCTATATCGCATTTAAACGGCTGTCAATCCAATTTCAACATAGTCGGTTTCACACATTTTAAAAGCTGGTAAAACAGATTCCTAACACTAATTTTGGTTACATTATTTTTTATAGATGGGTGAATATATTGACATGTCCCCCAATTGAAAATGATTATTTTTTATTTTTGATTGCTTCAATGTTAGTCTAGAATGGGGTTTTTGGAAGCCACCATTTTGAATTTTAGAGCTTCACGGAATATAGCTTCACGGAGGTTAGGATTTTTGTATATTTGAAATAAGTTATTGTATCTTTTGACACCTTAATATTTTTTAAAAATACAATTGTACCTACATACATAAAATATTTATAAAAAAAATCTACTTACTGAGATATTACACTTCACGGTGGATTGGTTTTTAAATAGCAAATTAATGAACTTAAACTTTTGAATTATAAAACAGCAACACTCTCATCTGCATATAAATTCTAACTCACCTTCAGGAATCACATGCGTCTATAATGTCGTAAACAGAGGTTTTTGCTTATTTAAAATGATTAAAGCGCCATCCGTTGCATAACATTTAAAGCAAAAACAGATTCACGGAGGATATAATCAATTTTTGTAACACCTACATAAATGGTTATAAAAATTATTTCTTTTAATTTTTAATAATATTTTATATTTGATTCGATTGCTTTGGATGTGTTTAATTTACATAGTGAACTGATATTTTTAGTATGCTTTTACTACCTCAGATATTTTAAAACATATAGGTTATCCTAGAAAGAGTAACAGTCATGGAGGATAGGTTTTAGACTTTTAAAACATTGTAAAAATAATTAGT